CTTTCACGCACTGCCCAACATTGCATATAACAAATTAGCATGTCTGAAGGATGGGCCAGGGGTGGGCGGTGCGGTGTGTGTGTGTGTGTGTGTGTACGTGCGTGCATAAAGCAATATCGTGTATGTGTGTATTTATGGGAATATTTCTTTTTTCGCGGCGTCTTTCCTTTGCGCAATTTCTAAATTAAGCGTGGAATATGCTCGGCGCTTTTATTAGAAATCGCAAATGATGGCCTGAGGGGGTGAGTTGAAGTGGTTTCCTGGATGATGCGTATTTATACTGCATACTATATACACATACATCAGGATGATTATGAATATTATGATATATTGGGAGAGTGCTGCTGCTTCACTTGAGTGCTCCACTTGAGCCGGAATGCTGCTCATATTGTTGTGGTCCGAAATTTGCCAAAAATAATCAAAATTCCAGAAAAATAATTAAAGCTTTAACAGGCCACACAACGTGTGCGTGGCCGCAAAAGTGGCAGCAAACCATACAGTACTTCAACTAACTATTATGCTATGGCAGTTCTAAGGACTCAATCAAAATCAAAAGTTGGCAAACTCTTCGGCTTCCATCCAGAGCGAAATTGTTAGGCAAACAAGCAACGTGGCTGGATGAACAGTTTGCTGATGATTACTTACTACTTACCTGCTTAGAAAATCAAGTGGCGCTCAAGCAAAGAACAATTTTGTGCGCACAAACGTAGGCAGCACTTAATTACAAAGCCTTTTTGGACACAAAAACTTGCATGACAAAGAATATTAATTGCCGCTTCAATGATTTCCAAAGAGGGGGGTGAGGTGCGGGGTGGAGCTCTGCCTGCCCTGCCATTTTTGATTAGCTTGCAGTTGGTCTTTTGTGGCATAAAACTCAAAAACAAATGTACATTATGTAGGAGGAAGCAAGGAGCAGGAATAAAGCAAAAGTTGCTGGCGATGTCGGCGTAATGAACTCGTCAGCTTAAATGGGCTGCCTGGCCATGCTTCGCTTAAGCTCTTGTGCTTTGCATATGCGTCGACATTTATCTGCCTGTGTGTGTGTGTGTGTGTGTTGTTGCAACTACTGAAATTATGCAACAAATAAGTGCGCCCGCACCCCACCGACTACTTTCATATGCAACAGCGCCAACTACTTGAGGCAAAGAATAAAATAAATGCGCATATGAATTTTTGAGCCAAGTAGAAAGGATTCTTTTTAGCAAGACGTTCAACGATGTGGCAGCAACTAAGGCGGCGCTCCCAATGCAAAGTGCACTTCCTGACACACATACTCCACATATAGTATACAAGCATGTGTGTGCGTGTGTGTGTGTGTGAGTGTGGGTATGTATGTGTGCCAAATTTATGCTTGTGCTAAAGTTTAGTGCGTGTGCTGGCAAAAGTTTCTGCGCAAAAAACTTTAGCAGCAGCTGCAAAAATGTTCAGCACTCACACAAATTAAATAACAATTTTCTCTCACAATTTCGCTACGTTTTCGCTTTGGCTTTGGTTTTTCCTACTTATGCGTACTATTTTGTGTGTGTTAACTTTATGTGGGCGTTACTGTTGACAGTGGGCGTGGCTCAGGCTCAGACTCAAGCTCACGCTACTCGCTACACGCCGTGCGTTTGCTACCGCCTTCAAAGTGGCTCGCCTGCCGTTTTAGTTTACTTTTTATTTTAAGTAATTTAAACAAATGCTCTGAGTTTAAGTTTTACGCTTTCCATTTTTTCCTGCATACTCGCTTTTAATGCGAAATACTCTACACTGAGTGCATTTTCTATGAAGCCAGAGTGCAGTTTAATTTTGTATTTGGCCAGCGTTCATTTACACTGCAGTAGTGGACATGCGGCGCCAAAAGGCTTGAGAAATATTCAAAAGCTGGAGACCATTCTATGAATATGCTAATGCTGAGCAATTCATTATGCATTAGAGCAACAAGTAAATTATATTGCCTTGAATTAAACAAGAATTAAAAAACGATGCAAAGAAACTACATTACTCCATGAGCGGTCTTTAAGAATGTTCAACTCAATTTCAATGAATGCAGCGCACAATTAAAATCAAAGAACGTAATGTTTAGTAAGGAATTGAAAATATGCATACGATTTGAAAGAGAATGTCCCAATCCCAAATTTATTGTAGTTCTTATAATTGTATAATTAAATTCTTGTAATAAATTTAGAACGATAACTAATGCCCAAAACTGTGGAGCAGACAACAAATAAATTGTGGATTACTTGTAAAGCATAACTAATTCGGGGAATTCTCGAGACAGCTGCCTTTTGAAACTTCTTATTTCGAGGGCAAGAGAGTTTTCGTCAATTACATTTTGAGCAAGTTTAGTTACTACGGTCGTTAGGGCTAGTGCGAAAAAGTTACTTCAATCTAAAACAAGCTGTAGGAATATATGTATATAAATACATATACTTATATATAAATATAAAAATATGTGTATTGTATTTAGGATCACAAATTTCAGTAAGTCTGCTTTTAGTTTATTTAATTTCAATTGTTTGCCAGCCACAACTTATTTTTATTACTCAAAGCGCTTTAAGACTTCGCTTTTATATTCCCTTCTCTCACCTTGTGCCTTGTGCCTTGTGCTTCGTGTCTTTGCTTTGTGTTCTGTTTAATTTTACAAGTAAACACAAATACGCGCACATTGAAAAAGTCTCCCAAAGGCATACACACAATGCACTTATATTTTACAGCTGTCTTTACGTCGCTTTCATATCCGCCCCCCTCCTCTTAGATCTCTGTTTCTATATAAAAGTTGGTGTATGTATATATATATATATATATATATATATATATATGTATTTGTGTGTGTGTGTGTGTATGAGTAGTAAATTTAATCTATTGCCTTGGGTGTGGGTGCACGCTTTCTCATCTCATCTTAGTCCATTTCGCTTATACAGCTTTATTTCTTGCTTGCTTCTTCTTTTCATTCTGTCTGCTACCTTTCTCCCATATCTATGCTTGTGCACAGCAGCAATAGCAACAACAATAACAACAGCAACAACATTAGCCAGAGCAGACATTGTCGACTTTGACTTCTGCTTGTGCTTGTGCTTGTGCTTGTGTCTTCCGGCAATCCTTTCGAGGATGCTAACCTTGCTTGCCACTTGATAAATATGACTATTTCACGCTTGCCATGGCTTCAGCTACCTTAACTCCAATTCCCCATGTCGTTTATTTGCGCTTAAGTTTAGTAGCAACGCCTTGTCTCCCCCTCGTTCCCTATCTCTTTCTCTCTCTCTCTCTCTCTCTCTCCAGCGAACACTTGTCTTCATGTCTGTGCGTGCCTGTGTCGCACTCTGCGCATTTTGTTTATCTACCACTCAATTTCGCAGTTTTAATGACAAAATGTCTTACCTTGAAATTGCATGCGGGTGAGGATATTATAAGTGCTCTGTGTCCACATGTCCCCCTAATGCCCGCCCACGTCCGCTTTGCTGGATTGTGCTCGGCGAGCTGCGATGTTTGTATTGCACTCGAGGGTAAGATGGCCATTGTTGTTGCTGTAGTTGCTGTTATTGTTGTTGGCTGACTGGCCCGCTTAGCTCTCCCTCAAAGCTCTTGACAAGTTTAATTGTCCTAATGTCCACTTAAGTCAGGTCTGCATAAAGGCAATTTTGTTCTACCTGCTTCTTCGGTTTTAAATCTTTAATAGATTCCTCAAACACAGATCGGATTAAATCACCTAGTCATTCATGTATCGTAAGAAGGGATGTACGAGTTTTTTGAATTTTTATTTGCAATTTCATTTCAAACAGTTTTCATGAAAACAAATCACACAGGAAATGGCATTTGCAAAATAAAAGCACAAAATACTTACATATATGAAACTTATACAGGCAATGCGAGGCCTGAGACTGGGGGGTTGTTGATATATCTATACTCAAAAAAAAAAAAATCGAGTCGAGCGGGTATTACAGATTTGTGGGAATATAGTTCGATCACTTGGATCCGACAGAGCTATAAAAAACTAAAATACCGGCTTAGAATTCATTAAGCAAAGTGCCGTTCTAGGCTGGAATAAAAAATATATTGCATATAATATATATTGCAAGATCAAATTTCAACAATCCTGACTAAATAATAAAACCATCTGGCTCTGTAAAAATACCCTTGAGCTAAGATTTCTAAAAATCAGACTGTATTTTGTTGAGCAAAACAAAAAGTTCACGTAAAAGATATTTAGAAAGAAACAAATCACAACACCATTCGAAGCTGATATCAAAAAAGCAATCAGAGCTGACTGCAATATGTATTTGCTCGAAGTAGTACACGTGGCCCAAAAATGGGTTAATAATATGATAATATAAAAGCTTTAATTTCCGCAAGAAGCGTGCATTGCTCTCAATTCCTTTTATTTCCAGGACATTAAATATACTTAGCATTGTTTGAACGACTGTCGAACGTCAGCTGCCAGTTGTATGCATGTCGTATACGTAATTTCTTTTGCACGCTGATTGGGAATGCCTGCGCCAAGTCATCAATCATGCGTCGCCTCTGCTTTTCTCTCGTTTTTTGTTACATGTGCCATGTGCCAAGCCAAAAAGATTTGACAAGTGTCAATCTGACAGGAGCGAGTGCCAGGGGACGGGGAAGAAGATTCAAGAAGGATCTCCCTTCCTCAAGTCTAAAGCCGTGCCAGAAACTTGCGAAAATCACATGCAAAGTAAAATGTCGAAGTTTTGACAGCAAGGGGCAGCAGGGACAGCGGGGACAGCGGGGACAGCAGGGAGTGAAAATGGTGTCGGCATGTGAAAACTTTTCATTTGTTTTGCAACGTGCAAAAACTGCTGTCAAAGTTTTTAATGTTTTTGGGGGCAGTACTCGTGAGGTGCAGGTGACAAAAAATGTTGAATGTTCAACATTTGACTGGCTACAAGATGTTCGTGTTGTTATTGTTACTGTTGAGCGTGTATTGATATTTGTGGCGCCTTAAAGTAGGCAACGGAATTGTGACAGCGCGACATGAAGAACGCAATGATATTCTCTTAACTTACCCTTCACCGAAACCGTCACACTTTGCAGCACTTCGAGCTTCTTCTTGTTGGCTGGCGATTGGCCCACGCATTTGTACGTGCCAGCGTCCTGATACATGACATCCTTTAGCGAGAACTGACCCGTGGGTATCGAGGACCCATAGCCGAGGCCACGTAATCGTGCCGAGACTGGATCCAAATGCGACCAACAGCCCAGAGAGCCTAGGGTAAATAAAAACGTTGAATAATTTTGTTTCTCGTTGGTGTTCTTGGGTGAGGACGGAAAGTAATTTAATTAATTGACCTGAAGGAGAAAATTTTAATTTATTTAATTGATAGCGAACAACATCAATGGCAAGTGGCAGGACAGACAATAATATGGCCAACTGCTTTGGCTTTTAGCTCAAAGCTTTCCCACAGGACCCTCCACCAGCAAAGTATTTGTCTATTTGTCTCATTTGTCTGTTCACTTTGTTGCCGTTTCGCGCTTTCTTGCCACGCATTTTGCCGAAAAGTGAGCAAAGTAAATTGCACGCATAATTAATTTTCAATTGTGCTAATTAATGAACAGCCCCTTGTCTGTCCATTTTCTTCTCCTACGCCGACCCCCCATTCCCTACCATTCCCAATCCATGCGCTGACTTGAAACAGTTTGTTTGCCCCTCTGTACAGTGGTTCCACATTTAAATGAATTGACAATAATAATAAAGATGCAAAATATATTCCTGTTGAATACTTTTGAAGATCAAATATATTTTTTATATCGAACTATCCATGAATATAGTATGTTCTCCTCCGAATTTTGAATTATTGTTCAACTAAACTATTTTTCTTATGGATTTAAATTTAAGTATGTATTTGGATCCACAAATAAATAAAGGAGATATCTATCCTGATTTAATTGTTCCATGAACGCTTCCTGTTTAGAATTTAAAAATTAATTGTATTTAAAGCTAAAGTATAGTAATTCCACAGCATGGCTTCTCTTGATAACATTTGTCTATCAATAATTTTAATGTAGCAGTAATTTTTTTGTTTTCTCCTTATGGTCGAGCCAAAATGGAAAAAGGTATTAATTAATTGTGCAAATCACTTGGAACAGTTACGACTATAGTTGTCCAGGCAAAAGATTTCTGCTTTACTTTGCGCTACTGAAGACAAGTAAGTATGTTTAGGAAGTCAACTGTTTGGCTATCTTGCCCCATGAATAGTAAAATCGGAAATTAATTAGTACTATTAGTACGACTACTACTGTATACACAAATTTGTACTTTTTCGTAGTCAAATGCGAACTACTGTGGTCTGCTTTTGTCTGTTTCTTTGCACTCGTCTCTGTGGCCTCCACTAGTCGATTGGGGCTGCTTGCGCGTTTCCATTAGAGTTGTCAGCCGCCCCAGAAATAAAGCGAAAAGTGTAATTAGATTTCGGGTAAATTTTTGTTCTGCCTGTCACGGCCAACAAGTTTTGGATGCGTTTGATGTTATGCCTATAGGCTTTCTTTTGCTTTCCAGCCTCCCCTCCCCCCAACTAGGCCCCATTTGCTTACCTTGCGGGCATTGCAGTGTCACAGCTCCGCCCAACTGCACCTCAAGCTGCCCCTTGTTGGGATTGTGGGAGGCAGCAGCCACAGAAACGTCCTGATCATCTGGCTCGGAGGTCACGTCGACAGAGTCATCTGCAAGGGAAAAGGAAGGAGAAGAGCAACATTAAAGCATTTTAAAGTGAGTTGTCTATGAGGCAGCACATGTGCATATAAAATATGATCACCTTGTCAACAATTGTCAAATGTGACAATATTTCAATGACAAAAGACGGCAAGTACTTGGGGATGGGGATGGGGGTGGAGTGGGGGCTGTTAAAGAAGACGATGGTGTGCACAAAACAAATTGCTCAGCTTTGCCGGATGTGGAGGCGCGTTGATGACACTTTTGCTGACTGCGTCATGGGGAAACACCTGAGTCATTGTTGATGCTGTACGCCTGTGTTTGTGTGTGCGACGAGCTGGGAAGTGTAGAGGTGTTGGCAAGTTGATGAAAGCACCACAGACACAATGAGTTGGCACTTCCGTTTTGCGATTTCGCTGACTGACTGACTGACTATCCCAAGATGTCGGAGCATTGAGGCGTTCATCAAATATTGCAAATCGCGATTCAGGTAAATGGAAAATTGGCTTAGCAGAGCACGCAAGCAGGCAGCTAAGAAAATCTCAGCAGGTAGAGGCACATGCACACGCACAAGCACAAGCAATTCATAAATATATTTTATAGTATTAAGAAAGCACGAGCTGGCAAAAGGAAGACAAAACGAGAAAGGAGAGCACAGGACAAGAGAAACCGACACATAACGATACTTCATTCTAATTTGCGACCCCAAAGAAAGCAGCAGGCAAAAACAATTTATGCGACCATCGCATATTTTGCGCTTCCTTTGCTGCTTTAAATTTCAGACGCTTTGTGTCACATTCTTTATGGTGGGCTGTTCATATTACATATAAATTACAATTTACGTTGACATGTGCCTAAAAGTGTGCAACAGCAACAGCGATGGCAGTGGCAGTGGCAGAGGCAGTGGCAGCAGTCGAGCCTTTTGTTTGAGGCCGGATATCATAACAATAAGTTGCAAAGTGGATGTGCCACGAGGCACAAAGAGCACAAAAAAGAAGAAGAATGGAATCATGACAAAAGACCAAGGCGCTGAAATTGTAACATACTTTTCTGCATGTTGTGCACATAAATTTGTAGGGCGCAGTGGGCGTGGCAGGTCTGTAAAGAGCGCGCAATAGGCATATATGTTAATGTTGAATATTCAATTGCTATGCACAGAGCGTAAGCCTTACAAAGTGTTGCTCACTCTTTGATGCACGAGCGTTCATTTTGAATATTCATATGAAGCCATGGCAGGGTACGAGTATAATGAAATCGTGCGGAAAATTGAGAAACTCAGAAATTCGAATATATTGCTTATATTTCTAATCGGAAGACAATAAAAGCATTTGTCCACACGAGGATTATTATTATTATTATTATTAGAGTTTGTTTCTATAGTCTCTACAGAAAATATTGCATTTCGATTTTCGCTACTTATTATAGTTTGGCTTGTATTTTCTCAGCTGCCATAATCAAGCTTGTCTTTCAAACTAGTCTCACTTCAAATTAGCTGAAGACATTAGTTATTTATCTAATCGACCACAAAGGCATTTGTCTACTAAATACCTAGAGCTTATTTCTTTTAGTCTGTGGTATTCAGTTTAGACTGGAATATTTATTTTGTCCTCGAGTGTATTTGGCGATAAAGAAGGTAAGAAAGGAAGAAGAAGAAAACAAAACTCCGTTTTCGCTCTCCTAATAAACTCTTCTGATCTCTTCGGTCACCTTGGATAAGAGAGAGAGAGAGAGAGAGCTTTTAGCCAATGCAGCTTATCACTCTCAAGGTCTGCATACGTGCAAGCACGTGGCCTTCCAAAGCCTTTTAATAAGGTCAAGCTGAGCATTAGATTCATTGCTTGAGATCAGCTGAATGTGGACGGTCATACTTCTTGCCAAATCTCTATTAAAAATTTTATAAAGTGCCCACGTGCAACATTAATTAATTATTATTGCCAAAAGTGCATAAAATTGTATAAAGAGATTTCGAGATTGCTTGGATTTCGGCGGATTAATATTCCACCCCTTTTCTTCGCTGGAAAGATTGTTTAATTTATTAAAGGAAGCAGAGTTGTATTTACACCAGGTAAATCAATATGGTTAGCTTCGTTCTGTTTTTAAAGTAATTTTTTTTTTGTTTAGAGATCGAGTTTCATAACCCCGAGCGGCAGGTATGGTGCTCAGGGCCAACCTGCTGCGGCTATAATTCCGTGCTGAAACAACGCAACAACTTTAATAATTTTGACTACACCGCACCGCAGATCCAGCAGCTACACGACTTTACTTTCTCGGCAACACCAGAAGTGCCTATGACTAAACCAGCAAATTTGCAAGGAATAGTACAGATAGTGAAACGTTCTTTTGAATAACGAGCCTATGTTCATTTAAATTTTATTAACTTTGGCCATTTTATTCGGTTTTCTATGACACTTAATGTCATTGCAAAATACAAACGGTCGTCTTACTACGACGGTTGCCTATTCAATAATAGTTAAATAGCTCAATCCAGCACATTTATTTGATTAGATATTTCAATTAAAACTTACAAAATCTATGATAATTGATTAGTTTAAAATGTATACTTAATTTTCTTCTTTTTTTTTCTTTTTTCTTTAAAAACAACAAAAACATGTACAATCCATCTACCTGATTGCATATGCAAGGCCACATAAATCAAAGTAATTAACAATGATATTCATGCATTAGTAATATATATATATATATAAATTTAATGAATTTCTAATGCAAATTAATAAGTTGTAAATGCAAAAGTCTGTGGTAATGTTAGCTGCGTCTTCGATTGAGCTCAACGATCACCAAGCTGAGTAAGTATGTACAAACACAGACAAATTAAAAGCTACAATTAACCTGAATCATTAAATTTACCAGATATATTTTACAATGCATATACCATATTATATTTAAATGTACTCATAGGATATGTGTATTTTTTTTTTTGCATATACAATCAGGCTAGGGTCTTAATGAACATAAATTCTGATTAGACATGAAATTAACTATGAAATTGTTTTGGAATAAATGAATAATATTTTTAATTTTGAAATCATGAATTGCTAACAGTATTTCTTTTTCGGTCCGTCGCCTAAAATTTAAATCATGTTTCTTCCCAATAATTAACTATTCGTATAAAGTTCCTATGGGGCAATACCTAAACAACTTATATTGCCATGGTCGGGTGGGTACAGACGAGGATGCTAACAACATCTATGCTCCTCACTAGATATTGTCAAATCCAATCCAATTCAGTAGGGTTTCAAGCACGATTATTCTTCAACTTTGGATTTTTATTTTATTGTCAATTGAACTGTTGGTTTTTTTATATTAATGTGCACTTAAACTATTGTGGTAGTGTAGTATGGCAGAAGGAGGTAAGAACCCCACCCCATATCCGGCGAGCTAAGTTAGAGCGTAGCAAGAAGTGCACTCCTTCCGAATTCTGCCCATGCAACAAAAATGGATAAATACAAACACCATATCTACCCACACACTACATAATATGGCGCCCAACGTCGTGGGGCATGAACTAGGTTAATCCGAGTATACTCTGCGAATAGCAGATTTGGGAGAAAACTTAGTTAGCATCACGGCAATCAGCTCTAAGGCTATCCATCCATTTCTGGTTTGTATTAAAATTTTGAATTCAAATTAAACTTCACGTTTTGTTCACTGACGCTATTAGTATAGGACATCGTCTCATGGAATTGCGACTGCAATTCGAGATTATTTGCGGATTGGTCGACCGGAGCGAATCTATTCTATAATTGGCACATGTTCAGAATATGACAGTTTACGTAGGACTTTGTTTTGTATTTATATGTCTGTGTTCGGAATCGCAAGACACTGGAAATATTTCGGTGACTTGACCAATATAGATAAAGTATATACATTGCAACTCGGCAATATCATTAGAATTTATAGATAGGGGAAAAAAAAAAAAAAAAATCTTGGGTTTAGGATTTGGCAATATAATATTTGGGTTGAAACTTTGATTTAATTGCGGGTGGCGGACCAATAATTTTTGATTTGATTTGATTTTAAGAAAAATTAGTTGTGAAAAATGGCTGTTAGGCATAGCACAGAGGATTTAGTTGAAGTTTTGCGCGAACGAAACGCATTTTGTGGAATCTGTAATGAAACATTGAATGTAAGTGAGCTAATCGCAACAGCTCCATGCAACCATAAATTTCATTATAGCTGCTTAATGCCACTGATTCAGACAACTCCGGTTTGTCCTATGTGTAGCCAGAGCTGCACTGTAAATAAACTGATGCTTTCAAATAATAATTTAGAGGTAGAATTGAATGAGGCTGAAAGTGTTAGAGGGGATTCTCAATCCGGTGGACTCTCCACTACTTTGCCAGAATTTACCGCTACAAGTCGATCCAACAGAGGTCGTGGCGCTACTCCTAAAGCGGGTATGCAAACCAGGTCAATGCGAAGAAATGCACCTGATCAGCGTGCGCAGAATGATGAAAGGTCAATTGATATCGCGACTCAAGAAGTTGTTGACAGGTCGGAAATGGTCAATATTGTCAAGAGTTGTTTGCAAACACAACAAAATAGCTTATTGCAAACTCTAACTTCTGCTATAAATGAAGCAGTAGAACAAGCAATTCAAAATAAAATGGCAGTTTTGAATATTAGCCGTACTGACCAAAATCGGTCTCAAACTAGAACTATAGATCCACCAAGAAATCCTGTAAGGCAAAATGACTTGAATTCGGCTTTGCCTTCTGAAAGCCATAATAGTAGTCAACAGGCTAGCGAATTTACACATGAATTTAGGGCGTGTAGTAACATTCCACCAGAAAAAGTGTCGAGTATTATACAAAGCTGGCGACTCAAGTTTGACGGTGCTAGAGATGGCATGCATGTAGATGACTTTTTGTATAGAGTTCGTTCTTTGACAGTACAAAATCTGGGCGGAAATTACCAACTCCTTTGTGATCATTTGTATTTACTTTTTGCTGGAAAAGCAAATGAGTGGTTCTGGAAATTTCATCGCTCTTTT